ATTAATTACATGTGATTTAACACTGACAGCCTTATATTGATACTGGTATTTGCAATTCATCAAATCTCGGTCAGAGAGTGACTTACATGGACACTTGTAGACTGAGATGCCACTTGCGGCATGAATAAGGCATGCGACAGTGTTCTACACACAAGTGGAAGGTTAATCTCCCGTGCAAGTATGCTGTTTCACATTGACTGATAATCACTTGTGTGATCAGGGACCAGAGTCGTTTGTTTCGGTTCACTGCTGAATAACATCAGAGAAACTGTGAGCAATTCCTTGGAATTTACCAGATGGTGTGATTGTGGACAGAAAGAGTTTATCAGGTAAAGAATTATCCAGCTCCAGCAAAATGGACGTCTACTTTCTTACGTTTTACAGATTCTGTTAAACAGTTCAATTTATTAAGCCTGTTTTAACTATATGCTCTTTGGATTAGTAATTTGTTGGTTGCAATTTTCTGATCAGGAACAAATTTCATTAATAAATTCATCTAATAAATGAAATACTTTGCCTCAAGAAGGTTTGCAAACATCGCAAGAACATTTGCTATAAGAAAGCATTACATAAAAACATGGACATTCCGTCAGAGGATGAGATAATAAAATCTGCCAGAGTAAATATCCAAATCTTTTACAATAGTTTTAGGGCATATGACCACAGGGGTCTAAGACACTGTGCAGAGTAGTTACCCTTTGCTACCAGGATCTGCTAATTATTGATTGAATCCAAGAGTCAAACTGATTATGATCCCTGGACTGTCCATACGATACCCATGCTTGCACAGGTTTCATCAATGTGGCAAACCTCAGCACTTACTGAGCTAAAATGAGTGTGTGATTGAGTACGGTCGACGTCTCAAACTTGACCGTAAGAATCGCACTGGTCCCTTTTGTGTTATACCTAATATTGAATCAGAACTACATTTTTGTCTCGAATGTCCATTTTATCAGGACTTAAGAGAAAGTTTTATTCTAGAATTTTATTATAAATTCCCATCGAACAATAAGCTTATTTTATTATTCACATCACGGAAAATCATGGTCATAAATAATTTGGCTAAATTTATGTTTTTAGCTTTAAAGAAACGTAGTAAATATTTTGCATAATATAGATGTCCATCATTTAATATTTGCATAAACAGAAACTGTAATAATATTATATGGCACTTCAGCGCTTATTATGTCAAGTTTCATGTATAATGGGCCGGTGGCCCCTTTACCGTAATAAACACACTCTACTCTACTCTACTCTACTAGACTCATTGAAAAAAATGTAAATGCAGAATGAAAGTCTTCCTCCTTCTCGATTATCCAGTGCATTATATCGCGATAATGATAAAAACTGGTCCCTTTACAATTATAGCTTCATTTCACACGGGATGTCACAGCTCAATCTCTCCAACCAACTTTGCAAATGTCTTTTCCTTATGAGCTTGAAATCAGTAACCAATCAAAATGTTCCTTCCTAAAGCGAGTTCAGCATAGATTTACATAAAAAAATTGTGGTGTCATATGAGCAAGCCATCGAGTTAGTTAAGGAATCACAACATACTTATAAATGATATGTGAGATGGAAAAGATGTTTTCCTGAGTACTAAGACAGTGGGAGGGAAGTCGTAAGGCAACAAGAACGTCCAGTTGTATTTGTGACAGCATGCCGAGACTATTCCTGCGCTATGACTTTGGAATTTATATATATATATACATATTTTTTACTAAAAGCCTAGGCAAGTCTAGATCAAACTAAACCAAGTCTAGTTTCCTTGATTATGAAAACAGCAGAAGAGGAAAGGTTCTTTTGAAGAAAAAAAAATTATTATAAGAAATGTTTTCATTGACTAAGTGTTAGTCTAGCAGAGATGAGTTCTGTGACATCACTGCTTGTTTATATCATTACAGAACAGGGTATTATGATTAAATGGCTGTTCTTATCGCCATGTCAGTCAAACCAGCCTCCAAACAAAGTGGTCCCAATAGAGATTTGATGCACTTGATAATCAAGATGTCTCCTTCACGATATGTAGAAGAAGACCGCCTCTGTGGTCTAGTGGTAGAGCGTCTGCTTTGCGAGCTTAAGGTCCAGGGTTCAATCCCCGGCAAGCATCATACCAAAAGACTTTTAAAGAAGGTACTTGTTGTTGCCCTGTCTGCTGCTCGGCATTAAGGAATGAAACAAGTATTGGGGTATTCATGTTAAACTGCCGCATGGTATCTCAGTGGCCTTGCACCATAAAATGGGCATTTGTTCAGACTAGTACAAGCAGCCACACACACGCACACGCACACGCACACACGTCGCTATGTAAGTGCATTAATGTTGAAGTACGTAACATGACATTAAACCCCATTTCACTTACCTGAAGTTGAAGAACAAGGAAGGATGCATAATTAATCCTGACTGGCCTGAATGTTTTTTTATTTCATATACTTTGCATTATTTTGCATGTTATTCATGGACTGTTTGTTTACTTAACATTATGAGGACAAAACAAACTTAACAACCCTTGCATCCCTGCATCCAATCATTTAAGCTAGTATAGCCATATTTCACTGAAATTCATATTCAACAATTTAAAGTCATATACATTAATTTCTGTTGATTGGACAATTAAAACTTGAAGTGTTTTGTGATTACACTTTACCATAAAAAATGTGTTCCATTCTCAATCGATTCACACAATGTTAGTATTACAATGTTAAGTCATATACTCTCCAGCCATGCGTGAACATACCCTTGAAGTTATTATTTTAACAACTACGATTGTAACAATGGACCACTCCACACTCTTTGAAGAGGGGAATTTTATGCATGAAACTCTACAGGAGATTTGACCCCTGTCTTTTGATCCAGTGACCCTAATATTGAACCAATGTGACCTTTTGAATGAGATGCTGGAATAGACTATAATGGAACAGCCTGTCTCAAGTTTGAATAGATTATGCTGCAGCGCCTAGGCATCATTATCGCTATGGAAACCACCCACTGACTGGATGCCGGGGATCAATAATTCTGCTGAGGCTCCAAGCAAATGAGTAATCAATAATTTCAAATCCCTACACCCAGCTGCCAAAATATTCAATATTATTGGTGAAATTTATCATTGATAAAATGACCGATTCTTGAATTAAGCAAGGCACATGTTTATGTTTTTTCTATCCTTCCATGGAATATTTTATGTGAATTTGGAGCTTAGTCATCGAGCGTCCTTCACCTTGATGTGACAAAGACCCGCACTGCCGTGTGTGTGAGGGGACGATGTCGTGTGTACTGTTTTGCACGTGCGGCGGTGGCACATCTCGTCGTCCGGGTTCAGCGTCTGCAGCAATGTGCTTGTGGGGTAAGGCACTCGCTTGCACGCACATGCTCAATCAATAGGGATAATAGTAACACTGTAAGGACGTCACATTCCAGCCATGTGGGATGGAGGTAGCCCTATGCTAGGATGGTACTAGGGGTATTTTCACATCAGCACATTTAGGATGAAAATAATCATGAGTGGTTGGTATTCCCATTTTGTATTCTTTTGTTGTGTGATTATTGTGGTCTTGCAGTGTTTTTTGTATGTTATTTTGCTGATAGCGATGTGCATCTTTCCACGGCAGCAGTTGGCACCGGGTCTCCGCGCTCTGGCAGAAGACATGTGGGAGTCGGTGCCTTGGGCACCTCAGCACTTACAGCTTCACTTTGTCAAATGAAACATTTGCAACTGTATTACATAAGATACTATTAACATAGTTACCTAAGTCCTACATTCTATGAAATGTGGATGTATTTTCATGTATGAGTATTTTTGTTTCCTTGGTTGTGTTTATATTGTGCATGGTACTCTGCTGTGTAGACAGAGAGGTATTGATTTTGTGCTGGAAAGTTTAACACATTTAGGTATTTAGAAAGTGACTGTTTATTCAAAGTTAACATATTTGAAGAGAACTTTTCTCCTTACATGTAGAAGGACGTTGTAGTTTTGGGGTTGAGCATCCTGGATGAAGACTGCAGGGTTTCACCTTGTCTTACAAAAGTAATTTTAAGGGTCCTTGCAGGCAATATGAGGGTCCTGTAAAGTGATGAAATGTGTACTGCATGTCTTGATAATTGCTATAGAGCCTGAAAGGAATCAATGATCATGTGGACAGTGGTCATGATTGATGGATGAAATGACAGACACCCATACCTGCTCTTGACGCACTGTAGGTAAAATGAGTATTCTTGTGCATTCCCACGGGATGCAGTATATGTGCAGTATTTTCTGCATTTCTCTGCATTTCTCTGCATTCTCTACATTCTCTACATTTGTGCATCACATAAAGCCCTGAGACAGTGTTGTAACTCTGTGTTGTTATCATCAAGTCATGACTCTGTGTTCAACGCACTCTCATGCTAAACCTGGTACAATGTAGGACATGAAACATTGAAATATTTGACATGTCAGATATTGATGAGTCACTATTGGCAGCTGGTAATGAGCCATTGTATATATAATAAATTTATGGAGAGTTTCATTAGCATACCAATAAAAGTGAAATATCTAAAATACAAGGACAAGCTTTTGTGTGGTGTGATAAACAGTCGAAAAGCCATGTTTAAGTGCTATGAAAGTATTGAGTCAGTATAGAAATGGCACCATGTATAATTCTACTACCGGTATATATACATTGGTATGTTTCCTTGAGCTCAAAGGTCCTTAAAGAAAACTTAGAAAATCAATTTGTATTATTAGATTTGCTTGTGGTAAGAGGTGGCTTACGGGATTGGGTGGTCAGGCTCGCTGACTTGGTTGATGCATGTCATCGTATCCCAATTCCGTAGATCAATGCTCATGATGTCAATCACTGGACAGTCTGGTCCATACTCGATAATTTACAGACAACCATTATATGGCTGGCACATTAAACAACAAACAAACTTATCTACCAAATTGTGCTTATATTAGTAAAATGATATCTACTATCCAGAAATAATGTCTTTACACTTTTTTATTATAATAAAACAGGGAAGTGAGGTGCTGAACATTGGTCAAACTTTGATGGAAGCCAGGCTGCAATAAGTCATCATAAACAAGATCCTGCTGTTGAATATTTTGTAAACGTTTTCCTCTCTTTTGTTTATCCTCGTCAAGCTCTCATAGGCAACATCCTGCGTAATCATAAACACGTTCTTCCTCCTTCCATCAAACGTCACTAATTAAGAAGTTTTATGCATGATGTCAGATTTTCGCAGGGCCTCCCGTGTAATATTAATCACCTATTATCATGGTGGCATGGGCTAGAAGAAAAGGCTTTCCTCAGTGGCTATGATGTAATGGACTGGTGCTTGATCTTGTGGAGTCCTTTTGGAAATGTTTGCACCACCTTGGTGGGACTTTAGATTGGGCAGTCAATGTGGCTAGAATTGGTAATGAGTTGCCATGGAAATGAGGGGTTTATAATTGATTAACAAGGCTTGTTAAAGTTGTCATATCAGCTTATTCATTACAAATCCATATTGTTGAAGACAGATGAAGTTAATGGAACGTTGAGAGGAAATGAAGTTTGTTATAATACACAATGATGTAAACACAACATTGTCTGTTTATTGGCCTTGTTTAATCTAGCATATTGTTTGGAGCATAAGGATATACAATATTTTCTAAGAAAGGAGTACATTTTTTCAAGCACCATGGTAAAACAACTCCTCCTTTAACTGATAACCCAGTCTTCCAAATGCAGTGTGCATATCAGGCCGTAGCTTATCCATGGCTTTCACACACCAATAGGCTGTTATACAGACCCTGAAACAAATATATCAAATACAGCCCATGCAAGTCTATAATAGAAAGTATAGATTACTGCAATCTTAGAAAGAGAGTCTCTGGGATCCTTTTTATTATATTTTAGTTACGTGATTTAACAAAAAGAATTTTCTTAAAATATGTTGATTTCAGAACATAGTCTATCAAACCAGTGATGTAATCTTGAACCTTGTTACCACTAACATGTGAATAGATGTTTCAAGTCAAGTCCAGAGGTCACTAGATGCCTCCTGAGATTGGTAAGATCCATTCATCTTCATTTATACAAGTAACATTCAAAACACATGAGTATGTTTACAAACTACTTGCTTCACTGCCAAGTCGGACCAGGGAGTAATCTCGGCTGACACCATTCAACTGGATAAGACATTGTTGTGCATGGTTACTGGGACAATGTGAACTAAATTAAAGTATTTTTGTAAAAGTAAATTTGATACACATCCCCTCAAGATTTGAGATGATCCTGAATGTTGAGAATATGTTTATGGTAGCAGTGGGTTGTGAAGGGTGTGGGGTGTCCTACTCCCTTGTTACAGAACTGCCTGTCAACAGTATGTTTGTTTCAAGAACACAACTGTCATCACGCAAATCAGGGAGAGAGTGCATTGTTATTTTCTTGAACATGATGAAGCTGTACAGAAACTAATTGTAAACTGAACATCATGTGAATCATTAAGAAATTGTGTGTACAAATGGCAGATAGGCTGGGTAAGCCTCTAACAGAAATCTCAAAATAGATCTTAGCGCTAAGTAAAGTGTAACTCCCATACTTTAACAGACACTGATGATAGTGGAATAGGACCCTGTAGGGTTGCAATGATGATGATGATTTACATCGTTCTTCTCCACTTTACATTTATGGAATGGTGTGTGTTTAATGACAGATAAGGGCAAATACTGAGTGGCCTCCAGAGATTGTATGAGGATATTTCAGAATTCTGGTAATCCTCTTTCAGATAAAGTCCCACCCATTGTTCCAGCATGCAGTACAGACTGTGTAACTACACAAGGTATTAGTGTCAGCCTGCTCATACACTCATCAGGAAGTAGGACTTTTCCAAAGGGTGGATTACGTATAATCTCCCTGATGAATGGATCAGGTTCTCAGGCTGTATGTCCTGGTCATGATTGTAAACCTGCAATTATCTGAACATTTATCACACACCTTGACCCATAAGTAAGCAAATTATGAAGGCTTATGAAGATAATCAGACTGACTCACAAGATATCCCGAAGAGATTAGATATTAAAATCAATAAAATCTGCCAGAACTGGACACCAAGGAAACCTGTCACTCATAGGAAATACAGTATTTGAGGCGTCCAGATAAATAAGAAAATACATTATCAGCTATCTTTGATAACTATGTTTCATATAAACAGCGTAATGAAGGATGTGCACTACACATTGTAATGAATAGTCAGTTATAGTACAAATCTCTCCAAGATCCTAGAGAATGAATTAAAAAAAGGAATCCAACTCAAGTCTGGAATGATTTGGTAAGTCTATATAAAGAAATTAAGGATTGTTCTGTTATTGTTTTTATTTTGTAGATATATATATTTTTAAATAAGAAAACTTTATATTCTGTTACTAAATGTCAGTCTTGTACAAATCCAGTGCTGAATTGCATAGGGAAGTTGTGTATGTTAGGTATAGTACAAAACAACACAGTTTGGTTGAATAGCTATGATTCCATGTCAGGTTGATAAGAAACATTTCTGAGACCAAAAATTCTGCCTTGATAATGCCAGCTTTTAGCCAAGCATGAAAACCATTTGAGACAGATCCTCTCAGTGCTGTACAGAAACAGCAACCCTGAGTCTCCCACAGTGATGGGTATGATCAGTGCTACTTTAGCCAGTGAAACCCTGACTCTGATGTGTGGACCTGTCTGTGTGGTGTGTGGACCTGACTGTGTGATGTGTGGACCTGTCTGTGTGATGTGTGGACCTGTCTGTGTGATGTGTGGACCTGTCTGTGTTATGTGTGGACCTGGCTGTGTGATGTGTGGACCTGGCTGTGTGATGTGTGGACCTGGCTGTGTGATGTGTGGACCTGGCTGTGGGATGTGTGGACCTGGCTGTGTTATGTGTGGACCTGTCTGTGTGGTGTGTGGACCTGTCTGTGTGATGTGTGGACCTGGCTGTGTGATGTGTGGACCTGTCTGTGTGGTGTGTGGATCTGGCTGTGTGATGTGTGGACCTGGCTGTGTGATGTGTGGACCTGGCTGTGTGATGTCTGGACCTGGCTGTGTGATGTGTGGACCTGGCTGTGTTATGTGTGGACCTGTCTGTGTGGTGTGTGGACCTGTCTGTGTTATGTGTGGACCTGGCTGTGTGATGTGTGGACCTGGCTGTGTGATGTGTGGACCTGTCTGTGTGATGTGTGGACCTGGCTGTGTGATGTGTGGACCTGGCTGTGTTATGTGTGGACCTGTCTGTGTGGTGTGTGGACCTGTCTGTGTGATGTGTGGATCTGTCTGTGTGATGTGTGGACCTGGCTGTGTTATGTGTGGATCTGGCTGTGTGATGTGTGGACCTGGCTGTGTAATGTGTGGACCTGGCTGTGTGGTGTGTGGACCTGTCTGTGTGATGTGTGGACCTGGCTGTGTTATGTGTGGACCTGTCTGTGTGGTGTGTGGACCTGTCTGTGTGATGTGTGGACCTGGCTGTCTGATGTGTGGACCTGGCTGTGTGATGTGTGGACCTGTCTGTGTGATGTGTGGACCTGTCTGTGTGATGTGTGGACCTGTCTGTGTGATGTGTGGACCTGGCTGTGTGATGTGTGGACCTGGCTGTGTTATGTGTGGATCTGTCTGTGTTATGTGTGGACCTGTCTGTGTTATATGTGGATCTGGCTGTGTGATGTGTGGACCTGGCTGTGTAATGTGTGGACCTGGCTGTGTGATGTGTGGACCTGGCTGTGTGATGTGTGGACCTGGCTGTGTGATGTGTGGACCTGGCTGTGTGATGTGTGGACCTGGCTGTGTGATGTGTGGACCTGGCTGTGTGATGTGTGGACCTGGCTGTGTGATGTGTGGATCTGGCTGTGTTATGTGTGGACCTGTCTGTGTGATGTGTGGACCTGGCTGTGTGATGTGTGGACCTGTCTGTGTGATGTGTGGACCTGTCTGTGTGATGTGTGGACCTGGCTGTGGGATGTGTGGACCTGGCTGTGTGATGTGTGGACCTGGCTGTGTGATGTGTGGACCTGGCTGTGTGATGTGTGGACCTGGCTGTGTGATGTGTGGACCTGGCTGTGGGATGTGTGGACAGTCAGTGAAACCCCGACACTGGACCTGGCTGTGTGATGTGTGGATCTGTCTGTGTGATGTGTGGACCTGGCTGTGTGATGTGTGGACCTGGCTGTGTTATGTGTGGACCTGTCTGTGTGATGTGTGGACCTGGCTGTGTTATGTGTGGATCTGTCTGTGTGATGTGTGGACCTGTCTGTGTGATGTGTGGACCTGGCTGTGTGATGTGTGGACCTGGCTGTGTGATGTGTGGACCTGGCTGTGTGATGTGTGGATCTGTCTGTGTTATGTGTGGACCTGGCTGTGTGATGTGTGGACCTGTCTGTGTGATGTGTGGACCTGGCTGTGTGATTTGTGGACCTGGCTGTGTGATGTGTGGACCTGGCTGTGTTATGTGTGGATCTGTCTGTGTGATGTGTGGACCTGGCTGTGTGATGTGTGGACCTGGCTGTGTGATGTGTGGATCTGTCTGTGTGATGTGTGGACCTGGCTGTGTTATGTGTGGACCTGTCTGTGTGATGTGTGGATCTGTCTGTGTTTTGTGTGGATCTGTCTGTGTGATGTGTGGACCTGTCTGTGTGATGTGTGGACCTGGCTGTGTGATGTGTGGACCTGGCTGTGTGATGTGTGGACAGTCAGTGAATTGTGACCCTTGCAGGATCCAGGTCCCACTGACGAGGTACCAGTTGATACCAGTCAGAGAATCCAAGGAGAAATTGTTTATGCTAGTATTCAGCACAGTAACAAACAACTTTCACCATGTTTTTGAGTACCTTCCCCAGATTAGCTGATACTTATTATTGCACTATTTACCCATGATTCAGAAAATGAGAAGACTTAAGATGATCTTAACCTATAATTGTGCATCACCTGTGTTACAGTGAAGGGGCACCAGGCATAACTGTACCATAATAAGGCCACTGAATTAGCTGCCATGAAGTCACCGAGTACAAGAAAGTAACAAAGAAACTTAAAAAAGACAACCTAATATTATCTGCTACAATTCCTCCAGGGCAACACATGTTATATAAAATAATAACTCAAACAAGACCATGTTATCACACATGACATAGCCTTTGTCTGTGAATCCCTAAACCAACTGACATCACACTGATGTTGATGTTGATGCTGATGCTGTGTATGGGAACACAGTACCTGCTGGGCTAACCCCCTGCCTCAGTTATTTTGATAGAGAATACTTGTGTTGACACAATGTGATATATGTTGTAGGAGACTGTGCAAGGCTACAACAACGCGGTAACTTGATCATCTTCCCGAGGCAAGGGAGTTAACTGACTGTAAAAGTCCAGTTTCCACCCTTGCCAAACTAGGCCTGAATCATGGAGTTATATTTTGGCTGCATTAACGAGCCTATGCAAAATCCAATCAAAATTGCGTAATGACATCAACATTTGGTTCATAAACAACAAGGCAGATTTCGGTCGATTGCAGGATTTGCAAAGCATGTGTACTGTCAACTGCGCATTGACAGATGTTTTCCAAATCTTTTCATGTTTTTAATCAAATTGCTCAAGTGATTTGATGTAAGACTTATTTTATTACAATAAAAATCTTGATTAATCGATCAGATCAACTTGAATGGCCGCCACCATTTTGTTTAAAGCAAAATGCATGTGATATAAGAGGTGGAATCTGATTGGTCAATAGGAGGGACATAGAAAGGAGATAACTCATAATCTCCACTGGTGGTGCTATGATCGAT